ACGCACTCTAATGCATACACTATGTTGTCACTTGCCTGGAATGACATGAGAAATAATAAAACCAAAGGAGTTTCAACAGAGAGGTGTTAAATCAGAACATGCACAAGAGAATGACATCTAAAATAACAGGTCTGTCACTCAACGTCAGCACATGATATTTCTGTATTTACCTGTCATTCACAGTCTATGTTAGAAAATTGCCTCTTATAAAATAAACTCAGTAGCATACCTTGAATTATGTGTTACATCACTAGGTTGAGACTGTGTTACTGATTTGCCATACTTAATATAAATTGAATGCCTGAAGTTATATATTTTACAACTGCTTCAAATTACTGATATTTCTCAAGTCTGCTGCTGAATTCGGCATTATGGTTCACTCAGTAGATTTATTAAATCAGCAGTTATGACAATTCCTGAAATGCGTCGTTAAGGCAGACGGGCGGAGCATTCGCTGGGAAACATCATATTTATTCACTTTATATGAAGCTTTACATCTGTTCTGTTTATGAGTCCTAAGAAATTATAAATAATCTTTTGGAGGAAGTGTATGTTTACTGTGAGCTGGCTCGGGCACTGTTAAATTTAACAACATGTTAACATAGCAAGGCAAGCTAATCGCTAATGTGCTTTGTTAAAAAGATAAACAACCAATGCTACAACCAGTAGCTGTCAGAGATGGCAGAGGTATGGATGCATTATCCCAACTGAGGTGTCACTTTAGGTGAGAGGATTTGCATACTGTTACAACTGGAAAATGTTGGTTCCGGTTCAATGCAGGAAGTCGCACCCATAATTTACTCATGATATCATGGGGGCTAGGAATAAGGTGGATAGAGAGTGAGGAACTGTGTATGTGCATTATGGAAAATGCCAAATTCTCTGGTTCTAGCTTTTTAAATATGAATATGTGCTGGTTTTCATTTATGACAGTAAAGTTAATACAGTATCTTTGGGTTTTGCACAGCTGGTTGCACAAAATAAGATATTTAAATATGGTAACTAAAAGGTGTGGGATAGACATTGTCACTGTTTGCTACCTTCTGTTTTATACACCAAATGATAAAATCAAGGAAATAATCAGCAGATTAACTGATCATTGAAAATAACAGCTGCAGTTTTGTTAGATGCCAGGTGTACATTATACTCACACCTTTTGTTGGATACTAAACACTGTAATGTAAAGCATCAAGCCTGCATAATCCACACCTCAGTTAATGTTTAATCTTTCTCACGCTTCACATTATCATCACACCTGAACGACTACAAAGCAAAGCCATTAAAATGTAACTATTAGCTTACAACGTGTCAGGTTTACTGTAGGCAAGCCTAATTCTGTTTAACAACAGGCCACAGATAAGAAAAAACTTCAAGTCTCTGGTCAATGTTTGACAGATCCATGCCCTACATCGAGTGTTTTGCACCAGTCTGTCTTTCTGCATATTTGGCCCAGTTATCATCACAAACAGGGCTGCGATTGGGTCAGCATCTTGTGATGAAGGCATTAATAGTGATTCTCCAAAAGCTTTGTACACACCAAACAATCAGGGTTCCAAGGAACACGATTACCAGGAAGGAGTGCCAGACTGAGCATTAGCACTGCAACTATCAGTCGATTAATATGCTGATTGTGGTCCTAATGAATCATTTCGTCGATAAAATGTTACGTTGTGAAAAATGTCCGTAGTAATTCCCCACAGCCCAACATAATGTATTTAGACTGCTTGTTTTATTCAATTAAAAGTCCAAAACATATTCAGGTAACTCTCATACATGAAAAGGATAAGCATCAAATCGTCACATTTGACGAGATGGAACCGGGAAAGTCTGCAAAGTTTTGCTTAAAAAATGACTAAAACAATTCATCATTATCAAAATAGTTGCTGGTAATTTCTCTGTAGACTGAGTAATGAAATAACGGAATAATTGTTGCAGCTCTACAGCACATTACAATGTTAACTATCATGTAGTTCAAAAAATGGTAAAACTCATTTTACTTTAACAGACGTGTCCTCTTTTGCTTTTCTGTCTCAACATGTCATTAAATCTTGACTACAGTCTTTAAAGTGCAGGTCGGCACTCTGCATATTATATTACCTCCAGTCAAGGTTTATAAGGAATGAATTTAGTGGCCAGGAAAACGGAAACACGTGCCATCCAATAAAACTGTCTGTACATATATACAACCTGTGGTGTTGCTGACACTACCTCAGAGTGATGATTTCTTACGCTGTTGCTGTGGATTGCATTATATCACAACATGTTTCTGATTTTGTGTTCTTCCATATATGTAAATGAGTTTGACAAAATACCAAACACATTTCAAAAACATCTACATGTCACAAGATATGAAGATACTTTTGTCTCCCTTGTTGTCTGGGGCTGAAACTGACTGTTATTTCTTATTGAATCATCTGCTGATTGTTTTCTAGATTAACCAATTTATCTTTTTAAATATAAAATAAAATATTGAAAAATGTCCAGTGCCATTTCCCAGAGCCCATTTTGACGTCTTCAAGGTGCTTGTTTTGTGCGAGCACCGGTCCAAAAGCAAAAGATATTCACTTATGATGACACAAAACAGAAACAATGTAGTAAATCTTCACATTCGAGAATCTGAAACCACAATGTGATGCTTTAAGATAACTAACATTTCATATTAAAGTTATTTTAAAAAATATCTCAAAAATAGTTGCTTATTATTTTCCTGTCCATCCACTTAACATTTAATTATTTCACGCTTCCCTTATCATTTGTGTTTTGACAAATTTTACCAACAAAAGATAGTCATCTCTCACTCGCAGCAGAGAATCAGTGAAACTCACCACTGACATAACACTAAAATGGACCAGATTACAGACTTACAACAATTACCATTTCTAAAGATTATTTTTTGGCCTTTTGCTTTTATTGATAGTACAGACGAAGACTGATAAAAAAAGGGCTGCATTTAAGGACACAGCCTTAGTACATAGAGAGCTTCCTTTACCAGTAACCCACTAACACAACAGCTACAACCCATACAGTCTGTGGAGTCAGCCGTTCAGCGTGATGAGATGCCACTGAAACATTTGAAGGATGGCTATACTTCATGTCTGTAACCTCTGATGGCATTTTATACAATGAAATGCTTCCTTTTACATGATGGGTATTGAGTGAAGTAAAAAAAAAAAACAGGTATCAAATGAAGCACTCTATTTACAGAGCTGGGTACTGTTTAAAAAAATGACACCAGTACCCTTAAAGTGATACTGATCTCAAAAAAAGAGTACTTCACTGGGCTCGACTTTACCACACTTCACAAAGTGTGGGATGTAGCTCTTACGGTAGTAGGACAATGACATGTCCAATGAAATCTATGAACCCTTGCTGTGATTGGCTATGAGAAAAACCATACAAATAGTCACTTTTTCTACATCTGGGTAAAAAAAAAAAAAAAAAAGGATCAAACGCAGGTATTGTTTGACTGGAGAAGTTTCAATACTACTTGGTACTAGGTTATTTCAGTTAATACCTTAAAAAGGTATCAAGTTCAAATAGCTAGCCCTGTCTGTATTAGTACTGGTATCATAATTTTATAAATGATACCTAGCCCTATTTGTCATGCATGATAGTCAACTTTGGAAATCACCTTGGCCTGTGGGGAGCCATTTTTAACTTTTTTCTTACCTCCTAGGGATAAAATAAGTTGATTAATCGGTACTGAAAATAACCACTAGCTGCAGCCCTACAACATTTTGTACACTGGAAGGCCGTATAAAATAAAACATAATATGCTTCTGAGTTGTGTCACATATAAATAAGTGAGACATTAAGTGTCATTAAATAATTTCTTCCTGGTTGGGCCGAGCCCTCACTCCACTGTTTGTTTACCAATCAGTTGAAGGAAACAACAGAGGAGGTGAAAAACCGCCTGAGGCTTTGTCTCCGCTCAAAACACATACTGAGTGACTGTGATCATGATTTACAGTAGTGGCTGCATTAATCTATGTGGATCTGTCACATCTCTGTTACAGCTAGGGTTATTTGCAGTGGTGGAATGTAACTAAGTACATTTACTCAAGTACTGTACTTTAGTACCAATTTAAGGCACTTGTTTTTACTTATGTATTTCAATTGAATGCAACTTTAATTTTCTCCTCCACTACATCTTATCTTTACTCCACTGTATTTGTCCCCCAGCTTTACATACTCTTCAGATTACAATTTTTCATATATTTCCTGTCCAGTTAAAACCATCTATCTTCAGATGTGTTAATTTTAAATGTTAGTATTATTAACACGAAACAGTAATATTAATCAAAAAACATTATATATAATACTGAAACACTGACAGCGAACATTTTACTGCACAACAACCACTTTTACTTTTAATACTTATGTACATTTTGCTGATACTTACTTTTACTTTAGTAAGGTTTTGAATGCAGGACTTTTACTTGTAATGGAGTATTTTTTACAGTGCATTAGTACTTTGACTTAAATAAAGGATCTGAATACTTCTTCCACCCTTTGATAGTTGGTTGAAAATATTTGTTAGCTTCTGTGTTACACTAATTACTTGTCTTCAGCTGTCTGGGTCAACACTGAAACAATCTCAACAGCTGTAGTGACACATCATTTCTGTAACTCCACCTCTAATTGTTCTCCTGTTTTGTTTTTTTTTCCTATGTGACTCCCTTCAAACTGTTCACCCAACTACAGTGAGGTCTGGCCAGACCAGATCATATTACAAGGCCTGTGAACGTGCAGCAACAGATGGTAGATCACAGGGGGGGACAAAGGAAGAGGAGGAGAATAAGCAGACCATGAGGCACAATTATGCTCCGAACACTACATGGTCTTTGGGAGTCTGCGGTTGTCCTAAAAATTGCCATCCCATGTGATATAAGGCTGACTTTTCAAAGTGTAAAAGTGTGTTTTTGTAAACATTGAGCACCAAAAGATCCACATCACACCTGCATTTCATTCAAACCACATGAAAGCAGAAGTAAATTCACCTCTTGCATGCGTCTTTTGGCCCTCTCCAGAGCATCTTCATAGCCTTTCTGCCTCAGCTCACTCAGGCTCTCGTAGTACTCGTCCGTGTCCTCGCTCTCGGAGAAAAGCACCTGCGAAAGGATCTTCCAGCCGCAGGTGTCCAGGGCATGACCCAGGTACACCTGCAGCTGGTAACACAGGGCGTCCGTCTCCCGCTGCGACACCCCTGAGGCACCGAAAAGGACCGACCACACGCCGGACTGCTCCTCTGGGAAGGAGGGTAAACACGGCTCCAAGTCGGAGTTGACAGCGCACAGCTGGAGGTGGGCTGCCCTCAGGTCCTGGAAGGAGAACAGTCTGGCCCAGCTGAAGTCCTCGCGGCCGGTGCTGTCACCGTCCCCCGGGTCTGCATCATCCGGAGAGATCGGGACATCCACTGGGTCCAAGATCTCGATATCTATTACTTTCGGCGTCACAATATCCCAGGAGCCTAACGTCGGGCTGACACACTCGGATGTCTTTGAACTACCGAGTTTTTTGTCCCCAGCAGCAGTCTTTGTTGTGGATTTTCCTTTAGGGACCGAATGTGGTCGAACTTTATACGCTTGGCCGTCTTTCTTCGTCGTGACAGGACTTTTTGTGCGTTTTTCTGCCACGGAGGCACCGGGGGAAGGGAGCATAACAGCGTCGAGGAGCGGGTCCAGAAGAAAAGTGGTCCGTCTCTGCACTGTTCTGTTGTGGCAGGTTATGGCGAACTTTCCCTCGATGTCGTTCCAGGCCACGATGAAGACAAATTTATGTCTTTCTTTTTCATCGAAGACTCTGGGTCGAACGGACACCCATCCGGACTCCAAGTTATCTTCCATCGTGAATGACATCTCATCAAGCCAATAATATAAAGACAAGATTAAGGTTAGCTCAAAAAATTAAATCTAATGTCGAGGCGAACGGCTACTGCTAGCTGCGTTTAGCTAACGTTAGCTAGAAAAGTAAGGTTTGGCGCAGCTAAAGAGAATAAACCGACGAGCTAAATTAAGAGGTGAAACAAAGGCCGTCCAGCTTTGTTTACCAGCCGCCAGCTGCGTGTGAGCTGGAGAAAGCCCAGCTAGCGTCGTTGTCCCTCCAAACGGTCGGATTTGGGATACAGACATGAAGAAGTTCAGACGACCAGATGCGCTCGAACACAGCGGCAAAGACGACGAAGGAAAGTCGGCTTCATAATGTCGGTTGTCATGACACCTGCCCGTTGACCTGCTCGCGCTCAGTAATATTAAACGGTGACTGTGTCGCTCTTTGTCCGCTCACACACAATGCGGTCGCGCAGATCGGGCTCTGGATGTCACGTGTGAGCTTCTGTTTACAAGCAGGCAAGGTGCGTGCGTGTTGTCAAATCCGGGGAGGGATTTAACTGGTGCACCCTCCCCCCCCAGGCCACGCATGGGGCGTTCAAGATCCATGATGACAGTCGGAAATACCAGAGTTAGTAGAGGCGTTCATGTCTTTTTTCCCTCGTCTTGACTGAGTCAAATATGGTGTTGTGACTGGGGACGTTTTTCATACACAAATGTAGATACTTTAAGATCAAACCTTGTTTGATTCATTGGAGTTAAACTCTTGATTTAGTCACTGAAACGTGTTAAAGCCAAAAAAGCATTCATTACTAGGTATTAAGTTAATTTGAGATAGCCCTGTTTTTTGTTTTGATGAACAGGGCTTAAAAATGTGCCTTGTTTGTTTGTTTCTATTTAGTTCAATAAAGAAAAAAAAAGATAAATAAAACTAGGACATGTAGGGTTTGTTTTTTAATACATGCTGGCTTATAATTATCAAAATATGATTATAATTAATTATATTATATTTAATTAATTTCATTTTTTGGCAATTTTTTTTCCTTTTTTTAAACTTGCCCAATATGTCCTGCATTTCTACATTATCATATACACATACATCTCAATTGTGGGATCAATAAAGGTGTATCTTATCTCTTATCTTATCTTATTAAAAGACAATTCCCTAAAAAAATATGTAAAATGCTGTGAATTTGGAGAGACCCTATGTCTTTATATAGATATATATATATATATATCTGTGTACCTTAATTCCTAAATGGCCACTAGTATTTTGTTCTTTTTTTTTGTCATTTTTTTGTCTTTCATTATTATTTATTTCTGTCTTGCAGTTTGTTTAGCTGTATTAATAATGTAGCCTAATCTGTATTCAAATGTCATATGACGTGACTTTTTTTTTACCATAAATTAAATTTTAAAAAGGCATTTATATCTTTTACTCATGTAAAAGAATATACTCCGTTACTAGAAGTACTTAGTATATAAGTAAAGTACAAAAGTATTAAAACCAACATATTCTTATAGTGCTAAGAGTAATGTTTTTTTTTTAATTAAATAATGCACAATGTATTATTGCCAAGAACCTGAATCATGAGTATAGTCTGTTGTTACTGGCTGTGATGTGTGTTTTGCTGTGCATATCTGTCTAAAAAGGTTGTTATCACCACGCCATTTATTGTCATTTGTGTTATTTATTGGTTGTGAGAAAAGGCAGACACGTGAGCAGCAAGCTACAATTTTCGTCTTTCTGCCCCTGTTGAATCATACAACTGTTCAAAGATTACAGTTTATATTTTGCTATATGTCGTGTTGAAATATAGTGAAGTGATCATAACGATGAAATCTGTGTTACTATTTAGTTGTTAAAGCACATATATTTCTATCTAGCCAGTAAGAAAACCATCAACTTTGAAACATGCAGTTTAAGCGCATATTTTTCCTATGTAACGTGAAGGCAACACATAAATCCGTTTACTGCGATAGTTTTTAAATCAAATGACAGGCAGAGGTTTAAAATAAATTCGCATCAGTTTGCTTTTTGTTAATTGTTTTTTCTGTAATTTAATGATTTTAATTAAATTATTCGTCTGCTTTCATACATTTTCTCTTCACTTTCTATAAATCGCTCTCTCTCAGTCTGTCCCCTCCAGACGTGCACGAGGAGCATAAACATCTGCACGTGGGCAAATTTATGACGCAAGCGTGCAGAGAACGTGACGACGGCTGGATGCAAATTTGCGAATCCTACCTTGGTGAGAAAAATGACCCGCCCTACTCTCCCTATGATTGGCTAGTACTCGTTGCCCCGTTGGTTGGATTGGTTAGATTAAGGCAAGAGGAGAGTGATTGGTTAAGATCCGAGTAGCATGTCAGTATAAGCCAATCAGAGGCAGAGTAAGGCGGGCCATTCCTTACCACCTCACAGAGCCCTATATTATATCAAAGACAGTTGATAACTATACTACTTATAGTACTTACAGTATATACTATAATATATGATATTATATGTTATATTCTACGGCACTGCCACCTCGGATTCACAAATTTGTACTCGGCAAGCCGTCTAGGACAAAAAACATTAAATTATTTAAATAACGGAAAATATCTTCCAATGTTTTTTTAAGAAACATAGTCATAGGCTATTCATTCCTGTTCCTGTGGACCTGATGATGTAATACCATTACGCTTACTTTATATATATTATATTATATTTTATACAACAGTTAGTTGTATAAAAGTTTTTAGTTAATTAACCAACTGTCACACTCGCTACATTGACGCAAACTGACACTAGAGCGTTACACCAAGAAAATGGATATTTTCCCCATTTGAATTAAATTAGCTATGAGTGGTCGTCATGAGAGAACGAGGAAAAGGAAAGCCAGGACTCTTCTGTGCAGACCTCCAGGTGTGTTTGAATCCGACCGTGCCAACATCCAGGTTTGCCAACGTTTCAGCAGCCGAACTGTCCTAAGTACGAAGTTACACAGCTGCAGCTCAATGTAAATACAAAGTAGCTTGTGAGTTCCTGGCGTGTGTGCTGCGTTGCCTGGCAACAGAATGGGGGAACTGTTTTTTTTTCGCGGAGCTACATAACATAGGCTACTTCAATAATTTATTTCATCACCTTTTGTTAACATTTCCTTACTCAGTGTTGCTGTTTAAGCTGTTGTTGAACTGTTGTATAAAACGGCTGTAATTGTCTTCACAGCCGAGACGATAACATCATAACTCCCTCTCGTGTGATATTGCTTAAATATATTTTATTTCTCCAGAGATATTTGTTGTAACATTGGATTAGTTCTTCTCTAAAGTGTGTGTGTGTGTGTGTGTGTGTGTGTTTGAGAGAGAGAGAGAGAGAGAGAGAAAGAGAGAGAGAGACCAGGATGTGTTGTGTGACCCCTCTCTGCATTTTTCTTCAAGCCCGATAAATCCGAAAATTGTAAAACAATGTGTTCACACTGAAACTGCAGATTAGATGCTGTTTTCTCTAGATGAATTATAATGTCTGCAGAGCAGTATATGTTTTTACTTGTAGTTTCCTGTCTTTGAACGGGGTCATCTGGTGGAGTTTCGTGAGCCAAAAAGCATGCTGAAAGGTGAAAGATTTTAAATGTTGTTCACTGGGTGAAGGCAATACATTATATCTACTAAAATAAGTCTGACATTCGGGTAATACCACATCCTAATATTTCCGTTTAGCGAACTGAGCAGAAAAAGATATGTCAGCTGAATAAACACAGGAATCACAATTTGATCTCAATTCGAGTATGACACAAAAAACACGTGAATCATAGCTTTAATTATTTCTGGTAGAAAAATAAGAGAAATAACATAGACTGTAACTATGTCTGAGTAGACTTTGCTGTTGCAGTTTAGTACCTCCTAAAATTCGTTGTTTTCATCCACTAGATGGCAGCAACGCTGTTTGTCAAGTCTGTCTTCTTACGACCCAGAGAACAAGAGATAAGCACTGCTATAATCTGTATTTTTGACATAATGAAAAACTCTAAATAATTGAATAAATGTGGCAGAATGAAAACATATATGAAAACCACACTGACCTCCTGAACTGACAAAACAAACAATCAGATTCAGTTAAAACTTCCTATTTTCCATTCTGTTTATCCAATCAGTTCTGTTTCATCCATGCATTCAGTTTATTTATGGGGGAAAAGTAGCCCAGTCCTATCATATCTTCACACCAGAACATATTGACTAACATTTTCCCACACCAGGACAAATCAAAAAATTTAAAAAAGACTGTGTTCACATGTTTGTCACAGTTAAAAAGTAAATTAGCAGCTGTTTTTAGAGCAATGTTTGTTTCTGTTTAATGTTTCTGCCCATTAAAAGGTTAGAGTATATATTATGGCTGCATTCAAGGGCTTAAGTGTATTTCAATTTTAGATCCCAAGAGGTTTTTTAAGTGTAAAGATATTTTTTTAAAAGGTAGGCTAGTTGAAAAACAAATGTCAGTGTAAACATGTTTCCTGCATTTGGATGGTGGAAGGTTTCATGAGTCAAAGAGCATATTGAGTGGTGAGAGATTTTAAATGTTGTTCACTGGGTGAAGCTCATGCATTATTTCAAGTAAAAGAAGTCTGTCACTCAGTTAACTGTGCAGACACAATATGCCAACTGAATAAATACAGGAATCATTATACCCTTTGGACATCCAGTATAAAACACACACAAGTAAATCATAAGTTTAAGTTTAAGTTTATTTCCTTTATTAATCCCCCTGAGGGGAAATTCAATGTTTTCACTCTTGCTTGTCAATTACACACAGCTCTGAAAGACACACACATGCACAAACAGGACCTATACATGCACAAAGTGGAGAGATGTCAGAGTGAGGGGGCTGCCCTTGGTGAGGCGCCCCGAGCAGTTGGGGGGTTCGGTGCCTTGCTCAAGGGCACCTTGGCAGTGCCCAGGAGGTGAACTGGCACCTGTCCAGCCACCAGTCCACGCTCCATATTTTGGTCTGGACGGGGACTCGAGCAGGCAACCCTCCAGTTCCCAACCCAAGTCCCTATGGACTGAGCTACTGCCGCCCCCCTAAACTTTATAAATGTTCTCTGGCATAAGAATAAGAGCAAAAACAATGTCTAGGTTTGGTTGGTTAATTGTTAATAATATTAATAAAACCTACATTGGTTTAAAATCAATTTAAGTCATAATAAACAGTTTAATATCTTCCAAGCAGGGACGGTGCTACACCGGGGCTAGGGGGTGCTATAGCCCCGTCAAAAATCTGTGTAGCCCCAGTTAAGCCCCTCAAGCATTTTATTTTATATTTTATAATATATATTTTTAAGTTAAAAAACATTAAAAAGTTCACAAGTAACCATTCTGTTCCAATGCAATCCCCGCTTGCATGTTTGTGCTGTGCCTGTACCCCATTGATTGGTGAACCATAAACTATGTGTGATGAGATGATGAGAGCTGCTGTTAATTTGGTCTAATATGTGTCTGCTGTATCAGGTTGCAGCGGGGGGCCTTCATCTAAGAGCAGTACA